TACGGCAAATTTCATGATTTGAAACTCGCCGGTTATAAATGGAAGGATAATCCCTGAGGCCTGCTAGATGGGTGTTATTTGCTGGAGAAGCTTTTCTAGTCGTGCTTCTTTGACGTATCCTAATTGTGGGTTTCAAATTTTCTTCTGATATTCTGTAGATGCTGATATGGAGGACTATGGATTTGAGTACTCAGATGAGGAGCAAGAGGAGCAAGATGTAGATATTGAGAATCAGTATTACAATTCAAAAGGTATTTCTAACAACTATTTCTACGTTTGCTTCTCTTTGTTTACAAGAAACAAAAAATAATTCCTAGCTTTTATGGTTTGGGAATATTGGTTTCTTTTTGGGATTCTAGATAAAGTTCTAGAGATTTGATTGTGCTGTAACTTGTAAACTACTTTGTTCACTTCAAATTAGTGTTCTGTTGCTTGATATTTCTTCCAAAAGTCAAAGTTAATTCATTTGTTTTTGGTATTGATTTAACCATGCTACGATTCTTCCTTGTTGAAATTATTAACAAAAGGAGTTATTCAAATACTTTCTATTGTTTAAATCTCTCTCGTATATTTGTAAAGAATTGTTTTTTCATAATTTGTGGCCCAAGGGTGGTTGATCCAATTTTTGTACTGACTTCTGAGGATGTTATTTGGTTTGTATGCAGGTTTGGTTGAAACTGATCCAGAAGGTGCACTAGCTGGTTTTGCAGAGGTTGTGCGCATGGAACAAGAAAAGGCAGAATGGTAAGAATTTTGTTCCTTGTGCTGTATAATAAAAGAAGGTATATAATAAAAAGAGATATATGTTTTGGAGTTGAAGGGCTTAAATGGTCATACAATTGTGTGTGCTGCATCCTTTCTTGTATCATTATTAATTCCACAATCTGTTGCTGTTCTTTTTATACGAATAAGTAATGCTTTTCTTTCCTTTTCATTTGGTCAAGCTAGATTATCTTCAATTAATACAAGTATTGTGTTTGTTTCACGAATTCCTTCTCTTGATTCATGTACTCATTTATGTAGTGCTCTTTAACATAATGTATTAGAATTATTCCACAATGATAATAAATCATCATGTATCACGTTTAATATTTTATCTTACACTTTACCAGGGGATTTAAAGCACTAAAGCAAACTGTGAAGCTCTATTATAGACTTGGAAGGTATAAAGAGATGATGGAAGCCTACAGGGAGATGTTGACTTACATTAAGTCAGCAGTGACTCGGAACTATAGTGAAAAATGCATAAACAGCATTATGGACTATGTCTCAGGTTCAGCTAGCCAGAACTTTGGTCTTCTGCAGGAGTTCTACCAGACAACTCTGAAAGCCCTTGAAGAAGCAAAGAATGAGGTCAATACATTTAGACATTATCTTTGGCCAGTGGTATATTTCATTAATGCAGCCTTATGTTTTTTTATTTTATTTTTTTAATGTTATTCGCAGAGATTATGGTTTAAAACAAATCTTAAGCTTTGTAAGATCTTCTTTGACATTGGGGAATATGGACGGATGAGTAAGGTAATGCATTATTATTTTTTAAATGATGTAGCCTTTGTCCAACTCAATTCTAATGTTTATTTACCTATTGGTATCCAGTAGTTGAGTAATTTATTGATTTTGTTGAACACTGTCAGATCTTGAAAGAACTTCACAAATCTTGTCAAAGGGAAGATGGCACGGATGACCATAAGAAAGGAACCCAACTTTTGGAGGTTTATGCAATAGAAATTCAAATGTACACAGAGACCAAGAACAACAAAAAACTCAAGGTCAGCATTTGTTTTAGATAATAAGTTATTATTCTGCTACATGGATAATAGTAATAACGTGTCTTTTCAATTTATTACCACTCCTTCCTGCAATTTAGCATTTAATTATTTACAAGACTTTTCCTACTTCTTATGGGGTGAGCTCAATTTCTCAAATAGCATATTTTTGTTTCTGTTATTCTGTAAGAATTAGTTTTTTTTTCCAATCTAATCACGGTTTTGGCAAATAGTTACAAGAGATGGAGTTTTTGGCCTAGCATAGTTGGGAGATTTTCCAACTGAAACCAAGCATGCACACGCTATGCTGTACAAAGACATTTGTTATTGGGAGCTGATGTTAGTGAAAGTGGTCTTTATGGAGAAATTGTTGAACCAAAGGTTGATGTAGGAACGTTTAGTGCATCAGCTTTCTATAATAGAAGTTCATCTAAGCAAAATAAAATATAAGAAAAGTAGTTATCTTTTTTTCTTCAAAGACCCAGAAAGTCATGCACTCTGAAACTAGTTGGTGTGACATCAAACATCCTTCTAAACTATTCTTATGCTGAAGAAAGTTCTTTACCAGTATTTATCGCTCTCCTTTGTATTAAATGCAGCAACTTTACCAGAAAGCACTCACTATTAAGTCAGCAATTCCCCATCCGCGGATAATGGGAATAATCCATGAATGTGGGGGGAAAATGCATATGGCAGAGCGGCAGTGGGCTGAAGCAGCTACGGATTTTTTTGAAGCTTTTAAGAATTATGATGAAGCTGGGAATCAGAGGCGTATCCAATGCTTGAAGTAAGCATATTTAAATTTTTTTAATTTAGTTATCAGTTTTAAACAATTTGAAAAAGATGTTTCTGTATAAATGTCAATTAGAAAAAAAAATCCATTTAACTCTGAACCATCAAATTTGGCAGTAATTTTTGTGACAGTATGGAATATTGTCCTTAGCATTTATGTCCGATTACTTCAAAATAAGCTATTCAAACAACACTTTTTTTTTTTGTATTTAACTTGGACCTAATTGCTATTACATGGCAGATACCTTGTTCTTGCCAACATGTTGATGGAGTCTGAAGTAAACCCTTTTGATGGGCAGGAGGCTAAACCGTAAGTCCTTTGTCTTTAATTAATCAGTTTATTTATGAGTAGCTATGTCTTTCCTCGAGAGGTGCTTAAATTACATTTCCTTCTCTCATATTTAGAACATACACATCCCTCCTGTTACATTTAAATTAATTTAGTGTAAATGAGTATTTTAGTGATTTCTGTTTCTTATCTGGTGATTCTCAACATTGATTAGTAGCTAATTTTGAATAATTTTTATCAATTGTGACCTTCGAAGAAGATATAAATATTTTTGGGTGAAATTTTAAAGCTGATGACATTAAGGTATTTAAAATTCGTTGTTGTGATACTGAAAGTTGTAGAGAAAGCTATTCACCTCTGTTAAGTGATTTGTCTGTATTCAAAAGAATTGAAGTGTAACTTATATTCCTCTCCTAGGGGAAGGGACTGTATGTATGCCTAATTTAAAACAAGAGGGAGGAGGGGTTTAATTTAAGCAACTCTCTTGGGAAATGAGTATAATTTCTCTCTTTTTATTTATCCCTGTACTTGCCTATTTTTCCCATTCTCTGATCCAATTCCCGGCTTTCTTTCTATTTTCACTGTCCTATTACAGATACAAGAATGACCCTGAAATTTTGGCAATGACAAATTTGATAGCAGCTTATCAGCGGAATGAAATATTGGAATTTGAGAAAATCTTGAAGGTATTTTTATTGAGTTTTGCATGAGAATTCGCTACACTAATTTGACCTTCAATGTTTCTTAGTATTTATGAAATATTTGTTGGAATTTGATATTGGTTAATTTTCTTTCCAGAGTAACAGACGAACCATCATGGATGACCCATTTATCAGAAATTACATTGAGGATCTGCTAAAGAATATCAGAACTCAAGTCTTGCTGAAGCTCATCAAACCATATACGAGGATCAGGATCCCGTTTATATCTAAGGTAAAAATGTTCTCACACTACACTTTTACTCTTTCATCAGAAGGAAACTGAAGAGTCAGATACACTTTTTCTATAAAAAGTAGTCAGTAAATGCTGACAAAAACTATTCCATCCAGTCTCGGATTATTCTGTGGATTCTTCCTTTATTATTTCTCTCCTCTTATTTGTCGAGTTGATTTAAGAGGCACTTAAGTTACCGTTAGTCTAATAGATTTTATGCAACAAAACCTGTTAATTTGCAGGAACTTAATGTGCCTGAGAATGATGTCGAGCAGCTACTGGTATCACTTATCTTGGATAACAGAATTCAAGGACACATTGATCAAGTCAACCGGCTCTTAGAACGCTCTGATAGGTTAGTTTTTATGTTTGATTTCTTTCTAATGTATTTAGTTTATTCTTAATTTTGTCAGTATACAACTCTTTTTTTATTAACATTAAAAATGCATGTTCAGGTCGAAAGGAATGAAGAAGTATACTGCCGTAGACAAATGGAACACACAACTTAAATCTCTTTANAGTCTAATAGATTTTATGCAACAAAACCTGTTAATTTGCAGGAACTTAATGTGCCTGAGAATGATGTCGAGCAGCTACTGGTATCACTTATCTTGGATAACAGAATTCAAGGACACATTGATCAAGTCAACCGGCTCTTAGAACGCTCTGATAGGTTAGTTTTTATGTTTGATTTCTTTCTAATGTATTTAGTTTATTCTTAATTTTGTCAGTATACAACTCTTTTTTTATTAACATTAAAAATGCATGTTCAGGTCGAAAGGAATGAAGAAGTATACTGCCGTAGACAAATGGAACACACAACTTAAATCTCTTTATCAAACTATCAGCAACAGAGTTGGTTAAACCGTGGTCTGTCGGGAGAGTTCTGTTTTGATGTCCCAGCTTGCAGTTTTGTCTTGTGAATTTATGTAGCTATTGTGGAGAGTTAGGGATGTATTGCACCAATAGTGGAATCAAATCGAGACCCAACTTGTGATTCATGTTTTTTGTTTTATAAAATATAATTGTTTGATGCATTCATGATTGATTCAAGGGGAATTAGTCTAATTTTATTTTTGTGCTGAATATATCTGAGCAGAGTACATTAAGGTCTCCCTCTCTCCTTTTTAGTCATTAAAGATCATCCAGTCATACGTAGTAAAATGTTAAGTAGTAAGGCAACCTGAATAAACAGTCATACATAGTACAATATTAAATATCAAGAACACAAAACAGGTACATACGAATACCAATCATGCATAATAACATTATTAAATACAAGACAACAGGAAACAGCTCCATATGAATCACCTAATAATACAGTATTTATAATAAATTCATGTGCTTTCCCTTGGAAATCCTGATCTCCAGAATCCTTTTTTATTCATACACCGTTTTCAACTTTGTTTGGATTGGTACTCCCGACTTCGTTTTCATGATCTTTTCCATGCTCAGTAACTGAGACGCCAACTTTTGGCTGGCATAGGACTTCGTCGTTAATCCAGTTTCTCAATTGATTGGTGGTCACTTCATCTGTTTGCGATAAGAGAAGGAAAGTTCATTTTCTAGGGTAAAAAGCATTACCAATAAACGCGGACAGAAGATCAATAACCTACCCAATCGTGGGACAGTGTGACCCTGGGGGTGCCTCAATATTAGGGGTTTGTCAAATGCAGATGCGAGATCCTCACTAGGCAGTTTTAGCCAATCTTTGTCCCCAATGAAATGAACAGATTTAGCTTTGATGGGATCTTTATAGGCAACATCGCATATGCTGGGATCTCTGAATTTGCTTCCTGATATTGATATAAAAAATTTTATGAGTGGATGCTCCTTCAGCACTTTTCCCTGTTAATTTCGTGCTCAATAGTTAGAATTTTGTGATTCAAATTAAATCACAGATCAAATTGTAGAAGTATTTTACTTGCCTGTGCCTGGTAACCAAGCAAAAGTGCACAAAGAGTTGCGCCCTGATTTACATAAAGAAGTGAGAAAGCTGAGTTTAGTAGTAGTTTATAAATAATAGTAATTGTCAGTATCTACTAAAGTATGCTCAAATAATGCCAGAGTCAATAGGAATGAGCTCAGGATAATATTTCCCCGGGAGAGAATTCATTACATTCCATAATTATCAGGATAGGATAATTTCTCGTACATATTTTATTCCATAATTAGGATAATAGGCTAGCTGAACATTTTGTATTTATTGCAACGGATCGCTGACGCTGAATTATAGAGATAGATTGTGTCTATCATAAATTAGGAATTTTTCTGACAGTAATATACATATGCGAAATCCAGAAGGGATTGAATCTTGGAGAAATGATAAGCATTTACCTGTGAGAAGCCAAGAAAGCCATCGAAGGGACCATTAGCTGTAATGTATTCGCATAAGTACGTGATACATTCTTCCAAGTTAAAGTACACTGTGAAGTCCTGGGCAAGATTTGTGTATATATATATATATATGTTCAGTAATTTCCAGTAAAACCAAGGCAAGTGAAGTTTGACAAATTCATCACTACATGATCCACCAAATCTGAAATGAAAAAATGGAGGATCAAGTATTTCTACCTTTTCAAATTGAAACCACTCATAGTAAGGTGGAGGGAAGATTCCTTCTATGTCAGATTTCCCTCCAGCAGGGTATTTACCATCTAGGAATTCCTGTGGCATTAATACAATTTAGACGTTCCATATCTTACATGCTGAAATTCGCATTATACTTAGCAATTATTGGGTATAAGAGCTAATGACCACTATCATGAACAAAGGGAACATTAAAAAGTGAGTACCATGTGAAATTGAGTGAATAGAGAAGGATCCCATTTGCTGATCTGCTTTTTAAGAAAACTGCCACTGGTTCTGAATCCATGGAGGCAAAGTATTTTGAGCTTCTTTCCATTTTCTCTTTCCATCTTTGTTTTCCCTCTGCCTCACAGAAACTGACATATTTGTAGGAACTGGAATTTATGAAGACTAAAGGTTGTACCTACCTACCCACACCCACCATATTTTTTAATGTATTCCAACAACCATCTTATTTGACTTGGAAGTAGGTATTGGATATGCAAGCCTACTACTGCGTAGTCGCTGGTGGGCTGCGGCATAGACCGTGGCTTCTTCGGGACCTCTATACATTCTATGGCTCTTTTCTTCCCATCATTTTTAAGAGATATCAAGTATTTATTCCCCTTGTTCATGGATCTCTATGGCCTCTTTTTGTTAAGTTCTTAATTTTTCAAAAAAAGTTTTAGTTTTAATCTTTTAATGATATTTTTTGTATATTGGATTATTAATTTAAATATGCTTCATACACATAAGTATTTAATTAAGTTATTTATTTATTACTTATTAAAAAAGATAGATAATTACTACATTTTTATTTACTTTGAACTCGAATAAAACAAATGCATTCAAGATAATATAGATATTAAATTTCATAAAAGTAGTGTCCGTAAAAACTATTTGGACAAGAAAAAATATAATAGTGACGAGATTACACGTTGAATTGAAGATTGATTCTTTTGTCTTCGTTTTCAAAATAATTCTTTTGATTCTAAGTATTTGGTGTCAATTCTTTCTATTTTCATAACTTATTTCAACAATTCTAAAAATGAGAAGTAAGTTTTGATTTATTTATTTATTTAGAACAAGGGAAAACCTTAAAAATTCTTTAATTGAGTTAAATTTTTATAAGATACATTCGAAAACTACTAGCTCTCTATAAGAAAAACTCATTCTTTATTTTAATTTTTTTATATTTTAATTCTCTACTTGTTCTTTTGAATATTTGATTGTTTAGTAGGACTTTTGGCAAAGAGATATACAGTTCTATTCTATTGCTTTTTTAATAGAGTAAGTTCTTCTTTTACTCCTTTTAGAGTAGTTTGGTTTTGGGTTGAATGCATAGGGCATGGGTAGCATGTATAGTCTAGGAACTCTTTTATGTTCCATAGGATCTTTAGAGTATGATAAGATCTTTGATATCTTCTTTGTGCATATATTGCTTATCTTTGTGATTAAGGGTGCTTAGAGTTAAAGAAGTAGAATGTAAAGGGATTGTCTAGATCCAAGCCTAAAGATGAGGAGAGGAAGAAACCTTACTCTAAGCCTCAACCTCAAGGGTCTAGGGGCATTTCTTCTCATCAACAATCACAAACAAGTAGAATCCAATGTTATGCTTGGGCAGGACCATATATGAAGAGTGATTATCCTCACATGGCCAGATATAGGCGAGTGATTATCCTCACATGGCCAGATATAGGCGATGCGGAGGAGGTGATCATTTTGTTAAGGATTGTCCCTTTAGTAAAGAGTCATGACCCAACCTCAACATTCATCTCAATAAAAAAATAAGGCTGACAAACCTCAAGCATTAGGAATGGTTTATGTCGTGTTAAGAGCAGAGGTAGTTGGTTTAGGGAACCTTATAGTTGGAAGTTGCATGATAGCTGGTAGGATACTTTGAGTAGCATGTTAAGGATAAGCTCTGTCTACCATCTCAAATAGATGTGCAATTAAGAATGATTCAGCCACTAAAAAATTGTCTTATAACCTATGTGTTGGATCATTTGTTAAGACAAGAATGTCTATAAGACTGGACTGTCTAAACATCCTCATATGTTTTGAATTTTAACAAACAACACTAAACGAAATGAACATATGACAGAGTGTTATCATTAGAAAAACTACATAGCTAAAATATAAGTGGTTTATGAACAAGTTCTATCAAGACGTTTGAGAGTTTGTTTGATCATGCTTGACCATGTAGAGCACTAGTTGCATTTAGCAAGACACTCTTCGACGCATTTAATCTGAAAACTGTTTAGTGATGTGTATGTTCATGTATTGGTGTGTTTACTAAAGTTTTTCTCAAGATATTTAGATTTCACAA